CCCTGCCATAAGAAGGGCTTGAGCTTCAGCTTATTCTAGGGAGGGCTTAAAATGCAGCCTAGATGTGCAGGGAGCAGGAGGAGGTGGATTATTACAGCAGGTGGGAGTCTCTGGCTCAGGTCAGATCCTGCCTGGGTGCTGTACAGACACAACCCAGAGCTGTCTCTGCTCTAACACTGCTCGTGTACTGGCAGGAGGAAAGGTGCTGAAGGGTGCTCGGAGATGCCTCCACCCCACCTGCTCTTGGGGGCTTGGCCACAAGTTCACTCCTGGAGGGATCATGATCCAGAAGTGGCCACGTGGCCAGATCCAGCCCCAGCACCATCCCCAGCCCCGCTCACCAACGCCAGGGTCCTACAGAGGCTTTACCTGGGAACTGGGGCTCTTCCCCCCAGTCCCATACAGGGAAGACTTCGAGATGGGTGGGCAGCGGATGCCCAAGCCAGAGCCTGGCTCTTTGGGATCCCTCTGCCTTTACCTGGGGTTGGATACCTTTGGGCTGAGATTCGTCTTCACGAGGGTGAGGTATTTGTGCAGCTTCTGCCAGAGGATGGGCTTGGGGAGGCTCCTGTTGGCGTGGATGGTGTGTACCCGGGCCATCTCCCGGGCCACCAGCCTGGAAGGAAACATGGGTGAGAGGTGGCTGTGGAGCAGCGTTCCCGAGAGGACTGCTCCTCAAAGCCAGCCTTGAGACATCTCGAGGGACGTTCCCCGAAAGCCGTGTTTAAAAACACAGGGTCAGCTGAACCCCCCCTCCACTTCAGCTGCCCCCGAAGCATTTCAGGACCCTGTCTGGGTCAAAAGCAGCATTCCCCTTTCCAGGGTGAGTTCAGACCAAAGCCGTGGTTCCTGTGAAATCTCTATTCACCAAAAGCCGATGCTTTTGAAACACGATGGTAAACCCATCTGCAGTTTGGCCCATTTATCACCCAGCACCACCCAGGTTTGCGCACACCAGCGATGCTCGAGCACCAATCTGGAGCAAAGGCAGCGCCAGGGAGAGCTGGAAACACGGAGCAAACCCCTCGTGCCTGGAGAAGCACTGGTTCCCTCGTGCCATGGCTCCCCCCTAGACCCACACATCTGAGGACATGGGGGTCCTGCACACCTGAAGATGTGGGGGTCCCGCACGTGGTCGGGCCCCAGCGCGATGCCCGGAAGGAACTGGTAGCAGAGCCCGTTCTGGAAGGTGCAGTAGAGATCGGGGGCACAGCCGTGGGCACGCAGCACCTGGAAGTTCCTCAGCTCCGTCTCCCGGTCCACAAACAGCTCCGTCTTCCTGCCATAGACACGGACCAGCACCGCGTCCGTCATGCCCTCGTCCGTGTAGCAGGCCATGAGCTTGTTGGTGATGCCATCGGTGAAGAGCTGGAGGGGGAGAAGGGTGGCAGAGCCGATGCCTGTACATCCTTGATATGCCAGCTGGGCACCGGGGAAACCCCCTTCCCACCAGCAGACCCCAGGGAGAAGGCAACCTAGCAAAGGCAGGGACAGGCAATGGGCAAAAGAAAGCAGGAAGCAGCAGTGCCCACAGAAGCCAGGAAAGCTCCCAGGGCAGGTGGCACAAGTTTGCAAGGCCTCGAGGCTCGGGCATGAATGGGGGCTGGTAGTTTGGGTAGAAATCCTGCCATTTTTTCACCTGGGAGCTCAGGAATATCTCAGGCCAGATGTGCCACCAGCACGCTTGGCACCCAAGCGGCACCAGGACTCACTCTCCCCCCAAAAAAAAAATCAGCGTAAATCTTTTGGCACAAAGTGAAAAGGCAAAAAAAAAAACCTCCAGCAAACAACACGGGGCAAACACCACCACCACCTCATCTCCTCCTCCCGACCCTCCCCGCGGGCCGGGTCGCTGATAGGCAGGGACGTCTCTGCTGGGGACATCTCGTGTCATTGCTCTGATGGCTCCTCACAGATGGAAAGAGAGTTTTGTTCTCCCGTCGCCCCGGCTTGGCCGCCTGCCCGAAAAAAACCGCTGCCGCCCGCGCCGGGTTCCTCTCCCCATCCCGCGGCGATTTCGGTCACCTCCGGTGCACCGAGGGGTTTGGGTCTCTCTCACCCCACGGGAAACCCCTGTCCCATCGTTCCCCACACAGGCAGGATGCTCAGCTCCACATGGATCCTGCTCGGCACCGAGGCTGAGCACCCCAGGGTGCTGCTGCTCCCCAAGAGAGTGATTTTTTTATCCCCTTCGTGTTTGGGGAGTCGGAGCAGGTGTGATGCTGGCGGAGCAGGAGGGGGTGAGGGCACGTGCTACGGCAGGACGGGGGCGCCGGGGGGGGAAAGGGTGGGATGGCTAATTTTAGACATCCCACTCAGCAACTCACGCTCCTATATAGGGTGCCTATATATAGGGCTCCCCATGCAGCCTCCTGAGGGAAACTCAAAGCACTGGAATGAGACACGCCAAGTTAGACGGCGCTAACCCCCCCGTTACACAGCCGGCTGGTGTTGGATTTGGGGTGAGAACGGAGAGCCGGGCACCACATCTCCTCGGGCTGCTGCCTTCTTAAGCAACTGAGCTGCTTTTCCCAGGGCAGATAATCTGTGTTTCCATCGCGGTGCCACGCTCAGCTCTCTCCTCTCCTTGTCCTGCCGGGCCCCAGAGGCCAGAAATTCAGCAAGCACAAGGTGTCATGGCCCATCCACGCAGAAGATGGTGCACACCGGGGCTGGTGCCCTCCACCAGCCACCTGCACATCAGCCGCAGGTGAAGGGCTCCACGTTGAGATGCTCAGCGCTCCCTCACCTGCAAAGTCCTCGTGCTGCTTTGTTTTGCTGCTCCACAGCCCGATCAGCCCTTACCAGTGGGTTTAACGGGATTACTGAGCCTTATCCCCCCTGAATTCCAGGCCACTAACTTTGGAGACACACACGTGGTTTGTCAGCAACCTGCACGCTGCGCACACAGGTTTGCCAGGTTTGGAGGCAGCAGCTCCTCCAGCTCCTGCTCATGGCTGCTCGGGAGATGCCCGGTGCTATTCCTTGTAGATCCATATCAGCAGGGCCACAGCGCTGCTCCCAGCCCAAATCCTGCCCTGCTGCGGTTGTGCAACAGCAGGGAGTGAGGGAAAAGTGAGTGTGACTCCACACCAGGAGCCTTGCAGCAATCAAATGCGAAGCAAGATCCAAGCCTGGTGCAAAGGTGCCAAAGCGAAGCAGCTCCATCCGATGTGCCGGTGCCACGCCTGCCGTGAGACTCCCTCGGCATCCCCGAAGCGCCGTCGCGTTGGCTGCCTCCCTGCCCAGGCACCCCCAGCACCGCTCCCCAGTCCGAGAGGCGGCCAGCGGCCTGCGGTTGGACTGCAGTAGGGCACCTTGTTGCCAAAGTGGGGCTAAAAATGTCCAGCCACGCCGGAGTCCTGGCAGGGCTTTGGCTCCACGTCGCTGCTGCTCTTCTTATTGCCGGATGAGGGATGGAGGAGACCCTGAGAGCGTGGCTGCTTCCCTGGTAGGGTGGCTGGCTGACTCACCGATATTGCCTGTGTCTTCTCGGTACAGAGATGCTTCTGCTCAGGGACAGAGCCTAACAGATGAGGAGCAGGAGCTCTGGAAAGCAGGCATAACCTGGAGCACAGCGGGGCTAAAGACCCCACCAAGAAGAGGGCAGGTGGGGGAGGCCAAGCACCCAGACCCTTCCTCCTCATCTTCCACGCCCTGCCCCAAGCGCCCAGATATGTTTCCATGCCACTGGCACAGCCTGGTACAGCCCCTGCAAGCAGCTGTGCACCGACACCGTGCAGCGAGGTGGTGTGAACCGGGCACTGCTCCAGGGCGAGGAGCAAAGCTAACAGGAACACTAATAGGAACCAGCTGAGGACCAGCACACCGCTCCAATCCCTTCCCGAACAGCTCTTGCAATAGCAGCTAAAGGAAACACAACTGGAGGTTTCCCCCCGCCAACTCCTAAGGACTTTTTTTTCTTTTTTCCTTTTAATTAAAAAC